CAAGTTGGCTGGCCATTTTTTTCTCTACCAAAAACCAGGTGAGAATGATTTCTTATGTTTCTCGGAGACGGTTCCAGAATAGAATTCTAACTTTGTTGTGAGTGATGTAGTCATCATTAAAACCCTAGCTTCCCAACGTAGATACTTGGAAGAATGACATTCACTCAGATATATATCTGACATATTTGTAATTTTAAAGATCAATTTTGTGACTTTTAGTTATATTTCATGCATTAATTTATAAAAAATTATCTTAGGGATCTTAATTGTTGCTCAGGAACACATCAACTATTACAGTGCTTTACTGGGTTTCTGCCTAAATTTCTAAAGTTAATTTTTTGGAAAATATTATACCTTTAAATTTGTTTGGAGAAGCTGTGATATAGTGTTAAAAACATTGGATCCAATACAAAAGGACCTGGGTTCAAATTCTGGCTCTGTTCCTTCCTTACTTATGTGATCTTGGACAATTTATTTAACCTTATTAAACTCTCTGGGTCAAGTTTCTTTGTCTGTAAAATGAAGATAATTTCTGAGGTTCCTTCCAGCTTCAGATTTTAGTGTAGCCTCAGCATCTGCAGGTAGCCCTTGTCACCCTGGTCCCAAGAATACCTGAAATCACTGTTAGGATTCTACAGTCTGAGGTGGACCAAGATGTCTCTCAGACCCACTGTCCTACTATAAGGGGTGTAGATGAATGATAGCATGTGATACAGATAGAAAAGGTAAGGTTTAAACAGCCTTAAGGGCTATAATCAAAGTGTAATTTGGAAAACTTCCTAAGAATCAAAAATACAGGCAAAGCTGGTAAGCCAACCACAAACCACTCCTACTTGGATCCTAAGTAAACTCTATGCAAATACAACACTTGGGATTCTCTGATTTCAAACATTATAGAAGTCACAGTGGCATAGTAGAAAGAGCACCCCGCATTTGAAGTCAAATGCCTAGGATTCCTGTACCACTTTTACCACTTAAAGGTATATGACCTCTGGCAAATCACCTAACCTCTCAGATGCTCTGTTTCCTTATCTGCAATATGGGGATCATAATACCTTCAGGACCTATTTCACAGGGTGGTTGTAAGGATTAAATGAGTTACGTAAAATGGTTTATAAACTTTAAAGTGTTATATAAATGTCAGCTGTTAATTCTTCTTATCATTTTATATGCGTGTCTTAAAAAAAAAACTGCTGAAGACCAAATCTAAAACTATGTAATTTCCCCTTACAATTTGGAAATAACTGTACCTTTCTGGGGTGTGTGTGTGTGTGAAATTTTCTTTTGGATTATTTTTATGAGAAAAAATTAAACAAGTAGGTAGGTGAATGTAGGTAGATGAAACATAAATGTTTTGCTTTTGTACTATAAAGATGGTGCTAAATTAATAAAATGCTTAAGTTTTCAAAAACAGTTATTTTCAGAATAACAAATCCTTTTGAAGAGATTTTTCATATGAATCATGAGTAACAAATGCTTCTTTTTTTTATAACTCAGGCATCAGGGTTCATATTCTATGTGGTAGCTGCTAAGATATTCAATATACATGATGAAGACAAAAAGAATCCCTTTACCACACATTTGGCAGAGCTCTATTTGATAAGTAATATACTTTCAAAAATTATCCTATGAGTTCATTCTTTTCATTCCAAAATGCAGCACCTACTATGTGTTACAGTTCACGGGGCTAGGTACTCTACGGAATACAATTGTCACTTATTACCTAGGACTTTACAATGTAATAGAGCATGTAAAATCACAGTTTCTTTACAATTGAAACCTCTAAAGATTCCAGTTCTTACTAGTCCTCAGAAGGTAGCCAAGATTGTTTATGCAATGATTTTAGATAACTTTATCATGAAATAGTTTGGAGAAAAATAGTGGGTATAGTGTTGGGAAACACACTAATAATTTTAAGGATTTTCTTCCCACCCAAGGCTAAGAGGGTTTTGTTTAAGAAAAACTACATTCAGTTTTAGAACTAGTAGCATGATTGTTGTTGTTGAGTCCTCTCTGATTCTGTGACCCCTTTTGGGGCTTTTTTTGGCAGAGATACTGGAGTGGTTTGCCATTTCTTCTCCAGCTCATTTTATAGAGACGGAAACTAAAGCAAACAGAGTTAAGTGATTTGCCCAGGGTCACACAGCTACTAAGTATTTGAGGCCAAATTTGAACCCGTGAAGATTAGTCTTCCTGACTTCAGGCCCCACTCTCTATCCGCTGCGCCACCTAGCTGCCCAGTAATATGATTACTGTTTTATTGTTAGACTAGTAGGTGATGTAATGCACAACTTTTCCTAATGGGGAAATTTAAGGTAAATTAAAATCGCACCTTTAAAGTGCCTGGCATTTAGATATTTCAAAGTGATTCTAAATACCAGTTCATCACCCCAATATAGTATTTTGTGTCACAGGAATACAAGCAGAACCCTTGTGAAAAATGAAGAAAGACAGAGACTAGATGATCTCTTAGGTCTTTCTGGTTTTAAATCTGTAATCTTAATACCCTAAGTATTGTAATAGATTATGAACAGTTTAATTCAACAATTATTAAGAACCAATTATGACTATTCCTGCTTTAGAATTTCTTTAGAACCATTTTTTACAGGTATTTCGAGGGGTTTCAGGGAGAGCTCAAGAAAGTCATTGCTTTTACTCCACCATCTTGGCTCCGCTCAATTATGACTATTCCCAAAAGAGATGGAGTACATAAAAGTCCAGAGTTGTGAGTTGTCTCAGGCACATGGGTTTCCTTACCCATGTGCCTCCTTGTCACATTATTATGGTTGTCTACTGTCCCATACAGAAACTGCATGTATTGGTGGAAAAGTGTGACTCTGGTTTATAAGTAGACTGGTATGTTATGCTATGATTATTATTAACTTGTTTTCAGTTAGTAAATGTTTCAGTATTAGGAATTTTTTCTTTTAAGAACCCATTATGTGCAAGACCAGGAGCTAAGGAAATTGGATATGGCACTACCATCTATCCAACCAGAACTTTGGGGAACAGCACAACACAGTGAAAAGTGACTTAGGGTCAGAATACTTAGGTTCAAATTTCACCTCTATTACTACCTACTACCTGTGTGATTTTGGACAAGTTATTTACCCTCTCTAGCCCTCAATTTCTTTGTCTGTAAAATGAAGACACTGGACTAGGTAGATATCTTGAAAAAGCATTATCAAGTACTTACTGTGTACTAGACACTGTGCTAGATGGCTTCTATCTTACCTTAGAGCTTTAGTGCTGTAATCTTATGATATGGAGAGGAAGAAGGAGGAATATACAAATAAGTCTAATACAAATCAAAGCAATAAAGCCTAGGTAGGAAGTTAGCGATGAGACAGCAATTAAAAGACTGCTAGGCTACTGTTCTGATAGTTTGATAATATTTTCTCCAAAATATTTACCTTCACCTAAATAACAGAAAAAGGTGATTCTAAAAAGTAAAAACCTGCTCTCATATCCACGGGGGGGAGCTCTCCTTCAGTGTTTTGCTCATTTAAAATTCCCCTGACATATAAAGAAAATTGTATATTAGGAAGGGTGATACAACTTGGATATGAGAATAAACATTCCCCCCTCCAAAAATGCATATACACACATATAGACAGATACATACTAAATACTATATGTAGATATGCGTTCATAATTGATTTGTTTTCTGTTGCCAAATCTTGTTAATGCTTGAATCAAAGGTATTGGAAAATTGGGTAAGATGAGTCCCATCAATTCAGTTGTATTTATTATTTTAGTGAGTAAAAAGTGAAAATGAAAGAGAGCAACTGAGCATCCATCCCAGGAGTACTTTTCATCTGAAATAGAGCTATTTAATGAGACTCTAGGACTATAAAACTAAACCTTAGCATTAAAAATCCTTACTAAGTGATACTTCCTAGCTTATCTCATACACAGAAATAAAAGAATAACTTGTTAACTATTAATGGGATATACCTACAATACAGTATATCGCTCTGCCCATTCCTGTATCCATGGAAACAATGAACTCTTCTCCAATTCATGAGTAGTAGAGCTAAGCTTTTCCTAAGTTAAAAACTGGAATCATTTTCTTTCATTATTCAAAAGACAAATATACTTTTGAGGCAAACAGAATTTACTCTATCATAGAAGTTTTCCTCATTATCATCACCATCAAAAAATAATTTTCTTAATTAAATATTTTTCCTCAAATGGCAGTACAGTGATTTGGTTGCATTTGCAACAAAATAAATGTGTGAGTTTTGGAAATCTCTAAATATGAAAAGGGAGAATTCATTAATAACTTAATCATTAGTTATTAACCACTTGGTAATAATATTGGTAATAATATACCACTTGGTAATAATTTCCTTTAGAAAAATCAAAGACAGTAACCACAGGGTAAGTCATAGTGTTTCACTAGCATTTTTGAATGTTAGCTTCTAATAGATACTGCTATAATTAAATACAGTTACAACAAAGGTTCTTAATCTGAGGTCCATGGATAGATTTCAGGAGATCCACAAACTTGGATAAGAAAAAAAATTATGTCTTTAATTTCACTAACATATATATGAATAGCATTTCCTTAAATTATTCAAAAACCTTATTCTGAGAAGCAGTCTGTAAGCTTTACCAGACTACAAAACAGATCCCTGAGACATAGACAGACAGGCAGACAGACAGACAGACAGACACACACACACACACACGCACACACACACAGTTAAGAACCCCAGGTTTACAGGGTCTTGCAGATGGGGGTTGGGGTGGAGTACATGTACATTTCTGCTAGCCTGCTTTCACATTCTTTTTTGTTTTAATCTCCTTTCTCATTTCAGCTGTCTCTAGCTTTAAAAAAAAATGAACCTTTCCTAGAGAAACACTCAAAGGTTATATTTCACAATAAACAAACAAAAAAACAATGCCTTTAGACGTAAACCCCATGTACACACCTGCACACTCCCCTCTTCCCTCAGGCACATGTCATTACCACGAATGACTAGCAAAACATTTACCTGAAGAAAAGTTTCGAGAGGACATTTGCCTTTTCCAGGGGTGATCTCTGCATGGTCCCTCGGGGGCTGCCAGGGTGCCCTGCGGGAGCAGACTGCAGTGGTGACTCTTAATTGCCAAACTCTCAGACCTAGTCCACTCTGTTCCTGCTGCCTCCTCTCTCTCCCCACCTTATTCACTTGGGTTGCTGTGATGTCATTTACCACGTCCTACAAATTCCCCCCACCCATCTCAATCCTTGCCAGCCCCCTTATACCTCTTTCCCCTTTCCCCTCCTCCTCCTCCTCGGCTGCCCAGCTTAAAAGACAAGCCATAGGCAGTCCAGCCTCACATTTGCTCGGTCTGCTTTTCCCCACCCCACTCCACACTTCCCCTTTCTCTGGTTGCTTCTGAGCCTCCCGCCTTTCCCGCCCCCTAATTATCTACTCCGCCTCTCTCGCCCCCAGCGGGCTCTTTCCCAGACCAAGAAATCCCTCTTCTTCCCTACCTTACACCTCCAGTCCAGTCCAGGATCTTGGGACATTCTCTGCCTCTTCTACCTTCTCTTCGAAGCTCCCAGGGACAATCCGAAGCAAAGTTAAGACAAATAATCAGTCGCTTGGGAAAAATTGCAGGGCACTCTTACTCGCCCAGTTTCCTTGGTACTAAAGACAGGTTACTTAAGTTTCCCAAGGCTTCCTCTAGCTTCTCCTCTTCCTCCTTCTCCTCCTTTTCCTCTTCTCTAAAGTCCTTTGCTAATTAGTATTAGTCTGGCTAGATGCATTCTGGAAAAAAAAAAAAAAGGAACAAAAATAGGTCTCTACCTGTTCTAAAATGCAGACTAATAGAGCTGCAAGGTTCCTGTGGGGGTGTTTGGTGTGTTGGTGTTAATGAATTTCTTTGAGAGAGAGAGAGAGAGAGAGAGAGAGAGAGACGAGCATTCTTTGCTTTGCTTCGGACTGTCAAGGGAGGTAAGATTCAAAAGTCTTTGGCAACCCAACTTGGCAAAATTACTTATTTAAAAAAAGAAAACCTCCTACGAGGTAGGTGTAGATTTTGTTCTATTTCTTACCCACCTCAGATTTGTTCATTGCTCGTCAAAAGTTTGCAGCAGTCTTGATTCGAAGGCTCCCTTCCATATCTACGGTTACTAACTCCACTTGGTAAACGTACCTGTCCTCGGTCAGATTTCTCTTAGTTTCTGTGAGCAAAACTCGACCAACCCTGAAAAGAATCAAGCGTCTTTGAAGTGCAGGCTCGGCACAATTTTGCCAGGGATACTGAAAGAAAGAAGAAAATACATGGAAGAAATCACAATTCTTCACTTTTATAAAGTACTCAAAAGCATTGTACTGTCTTGAGTTCTGAAGCGTGTGGTTCTTTTCCTTGTCATCCTTCCTTCAAAAAAAAAAATTTTTTTTTTAAAGTGCCAAGCACACCTTTGGTAAATTCTGCAACATTATTGTTATTTAAAAAAAAAAAAAAGTACACACTGACATTTGAGTTGAACAAACTGGAATGAGAGAAAGTTTGTTGAATATTATTTGTATTGTTTCTCCAGCGAATTTGTTTACTTTGAAATTATTGGATTGTTGATTTACATGTATCCCAATGAAGTACGGCTATAATCTTCATTGTATAATGCCAGTGAAGGAATTAGTCATATGTATTTAAAATAATGAATGCATGGTTTATAACCCTGGTTTACATTTCAATAATACCCCTTTCTTCTTAAATCTTAAAGTGTTTTACAAGGGAGTATCATTGCATATTTTGCTGGCGGAGAAAATAAAAGATTAATATTCACATAGGGTCAGACACCAAATCAGTGGTGGAGACAAGAATGGACCTCAATATTTCTGACTCCTATTCCCTTGCTAAACTTCTCAACCAGGCTTTCCCTCCCTCCAATAAGAGTTCCTGTTCATAAACTTTGAAACTATATTTTTATTATTTACTTTTCCCAAGTATGTCAATTGGGCTCATTAAATGCCCTTTTCACCTTCTCTGGTTGTTTACTTTATAACTAAGTGTGACCCACCATGTGTAGAGCACAAGTTTCAAAACTGACAAGTATACAGTTCCTCCTGGCTGCCAAGGAGCAAGTGATAATAAAGGAATTAGGAATATTGATTCAAAAGAGATTCATAGAAGTTAACTAAGTAGAAGGGATAAAAGAGACCAATTTCAACAAACATATATCATTCCCATACTACATAAAAAGTATTGTGTTAGGCACTCAGAATATAAAGATAAAAATGTCATAGCTTACTGACGGAGTTTTCAACAGGTACATCATTAAAGTATAATTCAAGGCAAGGAGTAATAGGAACAAAGTTTTGGAGGAGATATCTGAAGAAACCAGGGGAGGCAACAGGGAGTAGGTGACTTTCTAACCTGAGTATTAAAGCCAGATACGGAATCCAAAATGAATTGCTGAGAAGAGGAAGAATTGCATCCCAATCATGTCAGGGTGAGGAGGGGCGGGGAATATGGAAGCAATAGATGGTGGCTCTCCAGTTCTGTGAACATGTAATAATCCAGTTTGGCTGGAATATAATGTTTGAAGGGAAGTATTATAAAATAAGACTGGAAAGGTAGAGTGGAGCCAGATTATAGAATTCCAAGCAGAAGAGTTTGTATTTGTATCTTATCCTAGAGACATGGAAAGCACTGCAAAGATTTTAAGGAGAGTGACAGGGCAAACCTGTTCCTTAGGAAGACTACTATTTATTATTGATGTTGTTTGTCCTTTGTTCTTGAAGAGGACCAATGACATTAGGAAGGTTATGTCCTGACTTGCAAGTGAATTGGATTTAAGTGAGGTAGTGCAAAGTTCCCAGCCTCTCTCTCCAGAGCTATCTGGGTCCAGTGGCAAGATACAGATGAGGATGACTGGAGATGGCCCTGAATGAAGTGGGAGACCTTGGGCTTTTTAAGTTAAGGTCTTTCCCAGGTCTCAGTTTGTCTTAGGTAACACTCATTCAGTGATTAAGGAAGACTATGGACATGAGTTAGCCACCAGTGGAACATGAGAAATAAAGAAGAGGGATGAATCAAACATGACTCTAAGGTTTTGAACTTGGGTATGTGAAAGATGGTGGTATCATCAATAACAATCTAATTAAATCTAATCTAACCCCCTTCCTCTGATCAGGTATGCAATAAAACCATCCTTTCTCTTCTGCCCATTCACAGGATCACAGATCCTCAGAGTAGGGCGAGACTCCAGAAGCCATCTAGTCCAACTCATCCCTGAACTAGAATCTCCCCTGCACCATTCTTGACAAAAACAGAAAGCTGATTGTTTATATAGGACCTTAAGGTTTACAAAACACTTTAAACTCACTTGTTCCTCACAATAACCCTGTGAGGTAAGGGACACTGCTATTATTAGAGGCAGGTAGGTCATGTAATAATACCATGAGAACTAGAGTCAGGAAGACCTAAGTTAAAATACCCCTTCAAATACTTACTTAGAGGTGTGACCTTGGGCAAGTCACTTAATCTCTGTCTGCCTCAGTTTTCTTTTCTGTAAAATGGAAATAACAATAACAGCTCTATCCCAGGAGTTGTTGTGAGGACCAAATGAAGTAATATTTGTAAAGTATTCTATTTAAATAACTTCTCCAGGATCACACAGTTTGAGGATGTATATGAACCCAGGTCTTCCTGACTCCAAGTTCAGGGCTCACAGTAGAGATTACAATATCTAACTGGTGATCATTCAGACTGTTTTTTAATATTGCTCACAAGGAGGAATTTATGCTCTAACCCATTCCACTTTTGGACAGCATTATTTAGCAGGAACATTAAACCTAAATCTCTGCAGTTCCCTTTTTCCCCTTTCTCATCTCCTTCCCTCTCCCTCACCACCATTCACATGCATACATACACTCCTTTCTTGCATCTATATAATTAGATAGGGAAACTGCAAGCTATGAAAAGCTTTGGGATAATCTAATCCAACCCTTTCATTTCATAGATGATGTTTGATTTAAGAACTCATCAAAGAAACAATGTCGGCCATCACAAAATACTAAGAATTAAGTGAGTCACCAGAACTTGGATTTGAAAATTGACAGATTAGATTAGATTATGTTGTTATTTTTCTTCCAGTTATTTTCTTCCCAGACATTTTATCTATATCATAAAATTTTACATAAAAATGAAATCCAAATTTGGACAGTTTGGCATTCTTCTAAACATCAATAGCATCAGACAGGGATGCTTCAGTGAACTGACTGTGACATCAGGAGGCTGAATTACTGTTTGAAAGTAAAATTTACCTGTGTGCAGGGAGTGTGTAAGGCCTTATGCTCTATGTGCTGTCCAAACTATGGTTTCGTGGCTTGACTCAGGCTCCTGATCAAGATACCGAGACTCAGAATAGCCCTGAGCCCTCAGAAGTAGAGCAGAGACTAATCCTAGAATGGTGGAACTGGTAATTTCTCCACTGACATTGCTATTTATAAGGCCAAATAAAGACATCCTTGGTGATAGGTTCCAAAGGTAATGGAGATAGAGACTTCCAGACAAATAAAACTTAAGCCTGAGTCCTTAGCGGACACAGTTATATAATTTACATCTTTGGTCAGTTAAGTTCTAATTGATCAGGCTGTAAGCTAATGCTATAGGAATCTTCTCTTTTTTACTCATTCCTAGTGCTCCAAGTTGTCATGGAAGTAGAGAGAACACTAATACCTTCACCTTTAGAGTGAACATTTTCCAGTGCATATGCAAGGTTGACCTGCTAGGCAGACTCACAGGACATCAGAATTGAAAGAATCTCAAAGACTATCTAGCCCAACCCATATTGAATAAGAATCCTCTCTACAACATAACCAAACATAATCATGACTGACATTTATATAGCACTTTAAAGTTTGCAACATACTTAGTATACATTATCTTATATGTACATATGTGAAGAGAAGACCCTCCACACCTCCAAAAATACCTCAGGGAGCCTGAGGTATTCCATAAGCAGAGATTTGTTTCTCCAGAAAAGGGATAGCATATGCTTTATTAGTCATTTATACCTTCTTTCCAAGTCAACAAACAATGATGAAGAGCCTATTATGAAAAAGATCATTAAATCCACCAGATCTTTTCCTAGGAACAAGTTTTAATTGGAGGTAAGAGGGAAAGAATAGGGGGTACTGGTCAACAAGGGTTGAGGGGGATAAAGAAGAGACATCTCCAGATGGGAGAAGAATGAAAAGAGGGAAGACTACTTTACACTTTTGCTTAGGTCTGTCTCTACCTCTGAAATTGCCTGAGCCTAGAAGTGAGCAACCCATAGTCTCCGGTAAGCCTCAACTATCACTTCGGCCTCTTATAAATATTTGGTATCTAAAGATAACTAAATTAAGATATTAATATACTTGATTTAGAGTACAACTGCCACCACTATACTCTTTCTTCCTGGTACTTGTGTTTATAATCAGTGTCTCTTACTTCCCTTGTAACTCAGCTGCTACTTAGAGGGACAGGAGATATAATCAATCAGTAGGTAAATGTAAAAACTTGGAGTCACAAGTAATAGTTGAAATGGGTAGCCTAAAGGGAATATTTGCAGATCATTAAAACACCACTAGTTACCATGCTCCAAAGATTTCACCACTGGTAATAAATCAGAAGTGGAGGTCACTCAAGCTGATTGCTATCAGAATTCAGCATATGAAAAAGCTGGATGTACAAGTCCAAGCACTGTTAGAATTCTCTCTGGAACAGAGAATCTGCTTTTCCCCACTACTCTATAAAGCTCTTTGCTTCAGGCTGTCCTACGTTAGGAATAAGGGGGAAATCAATTACTCTTTAAGTCATAGGAAGCTACTGCTATATATTTTAGAGTAGCTCTAGTTTTTAAAAGGGGAAAATCTTAGTTACTTTTTTTTTTTTACAAGAAAACAAATCTGTTTAGGTACTTATGATTTGCCACTCATCTATCAAACAGACGCTAATCTGTTTGACAATTATAACCAGATGCAATCTAACACGTTTACTTCTCTATAATTTGAAGGTATGTCATAATATAGATGTTTTAATGCTTCTCACACTGCACATAGTAGGAACTCAATCAATGCTTATCACTAGAATAGTTATTAAAAGAGTAGCTTTAAAAATTTGAAAATGAACCTCTGATAACAATAAATTATTCTGAAACTTCTGGAATTTTCTCAAACTACCATTAATTATATCCTTCATCCATAATGCCAAACAAGAGTTTCTTAAGTTTTTGTTTGTTTGTTTTTTAATAA